CCCGGTGGCAGTTCGCCAGCATATCCCACCGGCTTCCCAGGACCGCAGGGACGACCAGGCTCAAGGAGACCAGGAACACCAGGCAAACCGGGAATACCAGGCAAACCAGGAACAGGAGGCACACCTGGAGTGGGAGGCATTGGCACTCAAGGTAGGCCTGGCACAGGAGGCACACCGGGAGTTCCAGGCAAGCCAGGAACACAAGGAGGGCCCGGAACAGGAGGAAGGCCTGGAACGGGTGGTACAGGAGGAACTCAAGGCAGGCCTGGAACAGGTGGAAGACCAGGTGGCGGTGGACTTGGTCCGACAGTGGTTTCCCCAAGGTTCCCGAGGACCCGATGGCAGTTCGCCAGTCTATCCTACCGGCCCCCCAGGACCGCAGAGACGACCAGACTCAAGACGACCGGGAAAGCCAGGCAAACCAGGAATACCAGGCAAACCAGGAACAGGAGGCACACCTGGAGTGGGAGGCATTGGCACTCAAGGTAGGCCTGGCACAGGAGGCACACCGGGAGTTCCAGGCAAACCGGGAACACAAGGAGGCCCGGAACAGAGGAAGGCCTGGAACGGGGGGTACGGGAGGAACTCAAGGCAGGCCTGGAACGGGTGGAAGACCAGGTGGCGGTGGACTTGGTCCCGACAGTGGTTTCCCCGAGGGTTCCCGAGGACCCAGCGGCAGTTCGCCAGTCTATCCTACCGGTTCCCCAGGACCGCAGGGACGACCAGGCTCAAGAAGACCAGGAACACCAGGCAAGCCAGGAATACCAGGCAAACCAGGAACGGGAGGCGCGCCTGGAGTAGGAGGCGTTGGCACTCAAGGTAGGCCTGGAACAGGAGGCACACCGGGATCCCAGACAAGCCAGGAACACAAGGAGGGCCCGGAACAGGAGGAAGGCCTGGAACAGGAGGAACAGGAGGGACTCAAGGCAGGCCCGGAACAGGAGGAAGGCCAGGAACAGGGAGTACAGGAGGGACTCAAGGCAGGCCTGGAACAGGTGGAAGGCCTGGTGGCGGTGGACTTGGTCCCGACAGTGGTTTCCCCGAAGGTTCCCGAGGACCCGATGGCAGTTCGCCAGTCTATCCTACCGGCTCCCCAGGACCACAGAGACGACCAGACTCAAAAGACCAGGAAAGCCAGGCAAGCCAGGAATACCAGGCAAACCAGGAACGGGGGGCACGCCCGGAGTAGGAGGCGTTGGCACTCAGGGTAGGCCTGGGACAGGAGGCACACCGGGTGTCCCAGGCAAGCCAGGAACACAAGGAAGGCCCGGAACAGGAGGAAGGCCTGGAACAGGGGGTACAGGGGGAACTCAAGGCAGGCCTGGAACAGGTGGAAGACTAGGTGAAGGTGGACTTGGTCCCGACAGTGGTTTCCCCGAGGGAAGCCGCGGCCCTAGTGGAGGTTCTGGACGGCCAGGAACCGGTGATGGAGTTGGAGGTCCTGGACGGCCAGGAGCCGGTGGTGGAGTTGGAGGTTCTGGAAGACCAGGAGCCGGCGATGGATTTGGAGGTTCTGGAAGACCAGGAGCCGGTGGGAGTTGGAGGTTGGACGGCCAGGAGCCGGTGGTGGAGTTGGAGGTTCTGGAAGACCAGGAGCCGGCGATGGATTTGGAGGTTCTGGAAGACCAGGAGCCGGTGGTGGAGTTGGAGGTTTGGAAGACCTGGAGCCGGTGGTGGAGTTGGAGGTTCTGGAAGACCAGGAGCCGGCGATGGATTTGGAGGTTCTGGAAGACCAGGAGCCGGTGGTGGAGTTGGAGGTTCTGGAAGACCAGGAGCCGGTGGTGGAGTTGGAGGTTTTGGAAGACCAGGAGCCGGTGGTGGAGTTGGAGGTTCTGGAAGACCAGGAGCCGGCGGTTGGAGGTTCCGGAAGGCCAGGAGCCGGCGATGGAGTTGGAGGTTCTGGAAGACCAGGAGCCGGTGGTGGAGTTGGAGGTTCTGGAAGACCAGGAGCCGGCGATGGATTTGGAGGTTCTGGAAGACCAGGAGCCGGCGATGGATTTGGAGGTTCTGGAAGACCAGGAGCCGGTGGTGGAGTTGGAGGTTCTGGAAGACCAGGAGCCGGTGGTGGAGTTGGAGGTTTTGGAAGACCAGGAGCCGGTGGTGGAGTTGGAGGTTCTGGAAGACCAGGAGCCGGCGGTGTTGGAGGTTCCGGAAGGCCAGGAGCCGGCGATGGAGTTGGAGGTTCTGGAAGACCAGGAGCCGGTGATGGATTTGGAGGTTCTGGAAGACCAGGAGCCGGTGGTGGAGTTGGAGGTTCTGGAAGACCAGGAGCCGGTGGTGGAGTTGGAGGTTCTGGAAGACCAGGAGCCGGTGGTGGAGTTGGAGTGTTTTGGAAGACCAGGAGCCGGTGGTGGAGTTGGAGGTTCTGGAAGACCAGGAGCCGGCGGGGTTGGAGGTTCCGGAAGGCCAGGAGCCGGCGATGGAGTTGGAGGTTCTGGAAGACCAGGAGCCGGTGGTGGAGTTGGAGGTTCTGGACGGCCAGGAGCCGGCGATGGATTTGGAGGTTCTGGAAGACCAGGAGCCGGTGGTGGAGTTGGAGGTTCTGGAAGACCAGAGCCGGTGGTGGAGTTGGAGGTTCTGGAAGACCAGGAGCCGGTGATGGGGTTGGAGGCTCCGGAAGGCCAGGAGCCGGTGGTGGAGTTGGAGGTTCTGGAAGACCAGGACCCGATGGTGGAGTTGGAGGCTCTGGAAGGCCAGGAGCCGGCGATGGTGGCGCTGGACGCCCCGGCTCGGGACGGCCTGGCGCCGGCGGGGGTGCCCCTGGTGGTGCAGGTGTGGCCGGCGGAGCAGGACGGCCGGGCCAGGGTACCCGCACGGGGGCAGACTATCAAGGCCGACCTGTCGGCGGTGCTCGTAGACCCACCGGCGGCGAAGGCGACAGGTTCAATGTTTTGGGATCCGCGGGCAACCCCAGGGTTGGGTTCACGAGGCCGTCCTTCGCACGACCGGATGGCGGAACGGTCGCCGGCAGCGGCCAGGATGTGGCGAGGCCCGGCTCTGATAGAGGAGAGCCATCAAGACGGCCCAAACCTGGCGAAGAACAGGAGAGAGAGCCAGCCTACATCTGACAGAGGACAAGCAGGAGGAAGACCCACCCCTGCTCGGAGGGACAGGTCGGCGCGCCAGGAGCGGGAGGAAGACCCACCCCTGCCAGAGGTCAGGGCCGGCGCACAAGGAGCGGGAGGAAGACCCACCCCTGCCAGAGATCAGGCCGGCGCACAAGGAGTGGGAGGAAGACCCACCCCTGCCAGAGGTCAGGTCGGCACACCAGGGACGGGAGCCGTCCAGAGCGCGGACCGTCCGACCGGAGGTCTTATTGACAGGTCCAAGACACCAACGCAAACCCCCGGAAAGCTGCTGAAGTTCCTTCGCGCGCACTGTTCGGCCCAGGAGGCATAAAGCGGAAGGAGAACGAGATCGGTCCAGAGATCTGCGAGAGACCAGGTAAGATTGGTGCTGCCGGGTGACTGCGCTTTCCGCTCACCGTCGTTGTCTCGGCATTTTTGGGTGCATTTTGACAGATGCAACGAGTTTGCTGCAAGAAAATGGATGCCTTTTGTGTGACCCCCTCATGTGGTGCGGCGAACCCACACCTGCTTTTCTTTGAATGCGATTTTAATGCCGTTAACTTCCGTTTCGCCTCTTCTCTTTTTTGCACTTCTCTCCTGCTCCCGAGCACACATCCCGCTTGGAATTTCATTAGGCCAATCTGTCGGCGTTACACAAACCACGTCACAAACCACGTCACAAACCACGTCACAAACCACGCTGGGTGCAGCCGTCGGTAACACATCAGATGAACTAACTGAATGAGACTCGAACGCAGCTTCTCCGTGCTGAAGGAGCTAGGCAGATCGTATGAAGGGAGAGACGCCCGCGCCGAGCGGACGGCAGGCATCTGACCCTCGCCGGACGCCCGCAGGCATGTTCCGCCACCCGACCAACTGCAACAAGTTCTACGAGTGCTTCTGGGACCAGTGGTCCGAGCGGTACACACTGCACGTGTTCAACTGCGCGGTCAGGTGAGTGCAGCACCGCCCGCCTTCCGAATGGCACAAAACTGGTGCGGACTTCAACAGGGGCTTTTCACAGCATCTGTAGTGGGGGTCAGCACGCTATTTGGACGGTCATTGACGTGGCGCAGTGCGATGGGCAACACTTGAAACCTCATTGAGTCGTTATGCGGATGCAGTTAGTGAAAATGTCCATGGCTTGCGAAGGCACTTTACTCGGTGCCGTGAAAAAAATCGCGTGCTGTTTGGGATGCATGCGTGTTATGTTTCGCAAAGGTGCATCTCCCGCGGATCGACGGTCCGCGACATGGCGATGCCCAGCTCCAACAGTTTTGGAATCGTTACACTCTGTCACCACACGATTTAAGGTACCCCTTCCCTGTCTCCCCGACCGGCGATGACGTCACGATGGACGCCACACCTCGCCGCCGCCCGCTCACGTTCACCTCCCGCCGCAGGCTGGTGTACGACGAGTCCATCTCGGCCTGCAACTGGGGCTACAGCAACTCGGACTGCGCTGACCGGCCCGACGAGGAGCTGGAGCGGCTGCTGCGCGAGGCCGACCCGCACCCAGTTCCCCGACGGGCTGCTGGATGGCTACCCCGACGTGCGCGAGTACCTCGGCCTCTGAACCGACCGACCGGCCGGCCGGGGCGACCCGCCCGTCACCAGGCCAGCCCCGACGACGGCTCGCTGCGAGAGCCTGCTTCCCTGCGGGCACTGAGGCGTTGCGCGTTGTCCCACAGTATGTGGTGAGATGCGTGGGGCCTCAGCCCACTCGAGCGCGCGAGGCTGACGCAGCGAAGCGGCGCGAGCGGCGTCTGGCGGCGCGGCGGCGCCCTGGCTGTGATAAGGGCGGACTATGTCGCTGGGCAGCGCGCGAGGTAGCGGCTTCACCGAGCGGCGCTGCAAGCTGGCTAACGTATGGTATTCTGACCGACTGTGAGCTTATTTGACAGCTGACTCGTCGCCCCCCCTCCCCGCGCGCGAGACGCGGCCCGACAGCAGGGGTGGCAGCGTGGGTGGGAGGAGCCAGCGTTAGTCGCAGATGTCTGGCGGAGCGAGCGAATGCTGCAGCTGTTCTTGGAGACGTGTGGGTCGTATAGCTGAGGTGTGTTTGTTAGGCCAGCCTAATTTCGCTCGTTTCGGTGGCAACGCAACTGGAGAGTGGACGTTTTCGCTTTTGCAGAGCGAGTAAACCCTTGTGGGTTACCATTTCATCTGCTGTGGGCAGCTTAACGCTGTTTCTTTTCTACCACGCCGTGTATCTGTTCCGTGACTGTCATGGCGTCCTTTTAACGAAGTCCCGAGAACATGGCGGCAGTGAGAAGCATTTCGCCCGGAAACGGCCACCGAATGGATATTAGTAATAAGTTGTGGTAAAACGCAGTGCAGAATACATTGCATTCTGGACATTGCATAGACATACAGTTAGTTATGCATGAAGTAGGCATAATTTGGATGCCCTCCTGCGTGTCTTGTCTATGCATACAATCTTCTTGACTAGATCTTCGGGCAGAAATGGACTGGGTTCTTCTTCAATGCTGATGTAGGCATGGCTATGTTGTAAATAACCATCGGAAATCATAGTGTAGATCCATGGATCGTTTTGCAATAAACAAAGAGGTGGTTTCAAGTTAGTCATGAAATATGTGGGAGAACAGCTCACAGGTTGCCAGCACCGATCAGAAAAATACATCAGCTGCCAGTTGTAATAATTGTTGACAGTAGTAATAGCTTTATTCCTCAGAGAAAAACCGGGAGAATGGAGATACAGATACGTTGATATTTCGGCAACATCCGTTCATCGAAACGAATAGCAGAGGTGAACTCGCTTCTGCTATTCGTTTCGATAAAGGCACGCTGCGGAAAATCAACACATCTATATCTCCATTCTCCTGGTTTTTCTCAGAGGAATAAGGCTATTAATACTGTCTTATCTACGTGCACAGTGTTCCTCGCAAATGCACTTAACAACTCTCACGTAACTGCCAGTTGTCGCCAAGACACATGAGGCAACAGACGTAGCAGACAGACGTAGTCACCGCAGTCCAGGTCAAAGTACGTTGGATTAACATTGTCGGATGGGGCGCGCCTCACAAACCGCCGGAGTTCTCAGTAGTTTTCCGGAAATAGTCTCGCAATGCACGCGTGGCGCTGGGACTTGGAATTGCTGGGTTGTAGCCACTTTTGTGCTGTCAGCGCGAAAGGCGTGAAGGCTCCACTCAAATAGGCTAAGGATGATGGCATTTTTGGTGAGGTCATACCGGTCGCACCTCACGCTCAGACACCCGGTAACGTAAGTTCGTCGTAGAATATGCTCTCTGTGACGTTCTCGTGTCGGTTTGGTCTAGGTTATTAGGAACGTGATCTAGATCATTATGCATATTTTGGTCTAGATAATAAGCTTCATAGGGCTGTGATCCCATACAACACAATCAGCTTGGTCATGGTAAGCCAGGTCGAGTACACCAGCTAAAAACGCTAATAATTTGACGTTTCCTCGGTCCCATACGAAATAAGTAAGTAACGGAGTTAATATCGCCCGCCATTAAAGGGAGTGCTTTACAATTACGAGGGGTTTTATGTAGGCAACAAAGTTAATATCGCCCGCCATTCAAGGGAGTGCTCCACAGTTACGAGGGGTTTTATGTAAGTAACGAAGTTAATATTGCCCACCATTAAAGGGAGCGCTCCCCAGTTACGAGGGGTTTCAAGTAAGTAGCGAAGTTAATATTGTCCGCCATTAAAGGGAGCGCTCCACAGTTACGAGGGGTTTCAAGTAAGTAACGAAGTTAACATCGCCCGTCATTAAAGGGAGTGCTCTACAATTACGAGGGGTTTCGAACTGAACTAGCCATCACGAAACTCAATCGGTGCGGTTCACAGCCCAGCCTCACCTAAACCTCTCAGGTCCTGTGCTACCCGCCCGCGAACATGCACAGACTGTTTCGGGGAGACTATTTCAACGTCACCCAGACATCCATAACGTCATAATAGCGTCATTAAAATCCTGCCATTCCATTGGCCATGCGGCGATCAAGGCGAAGAAAACTATAATCGTCGAGGCGTTTATATTTGGTGTTCGTGCGCGCGATTTCCAAATATGACGGCCGTGAATTGGCTCTCAATCAATGTTGTGCAGGGTACGATGACAATCAACCAATAACGTATTAAGAATATTTACTGCACAGATAAATTATGTTGTCTGGAGTAGCCTGTATGTGGTGCTATTTCATCATATCTGCTGTTTACTTCAATATCTTAAAATGTGGAGGATCCCCTTCCAGGCACAAGGAGCTCCACCATTGGCATTTGACGCTTGTTGATGCCATAACCGGCCGATATTCGGCTTCACCTTCACTTGACCTTTACCATGTGACCCGACACCTTCACTTCACCTTCACCTGACCTTTACCATGTGACCCGACTCGCCGCCAACAACTGACCTAGTGACGTATGTCATGAATTACATAACCCCGTTACGAAAACACCAATCTTCGCTTCACACCGCCGGGTTTTAAGCCGCTGTTCGTTGTTCACGACAGCGCTGGACATATCGCACAATATCGTACACGTCTCTTGTTTATTGACGTCACAGCACGGCGATATCAAAACACTGTCACCGGCCAAATGCGCACAAAGAGATGACTATGGACGGGCTATCCGAATCATGATACACCGATTCGTAAGTGATTATCTTTTCTTGGAGTCGTACTTCTTCCGTCCATAACACAAGTCGGTCTTGGAGCTTCCCAAATTGACGATTTTGGGGCAGCCGTCCATCTGGAAAAGATAACGTTCGCAGCCTGCAGGTCTCCCGCAAACTCCCGCCAAAACTGTGGCAAACTCCCGCCAAAACCAGTCCACGTTCACAAACACGGGTGGCTTCAAGCGTGTTGTATTCAGGTCTCAGCAGCCGGCGCCGGCGGATCGCCGCTGTCCGCCGCCTCCTCCACCTTCTCCCTCTTGTGTGGCTCCACCGGCGGCGAGGCCGAGTCGTCCCGCTCGCGCGCGCGCCGCTTCTTGCCCTGGTTTCTGCTCTGCTTGGCCTGCATCGCCTCATGCGAGATGCTGAAATGTCCGGGCCGGCGGCTCAACACCCGCCTGATCCGGTCGGCCGGCACGACTGACGTCCAGACCCGGGACATGAACGTCCCAGGACCGCCTCACTAGCCGGCACTTACCGACGGAGGCAAAGCTAGATGGCGGTGGAGCGCGCTTATTTACAGATGGATGTTATGAGGGGAGGAAAGGACCATAGTAACGTAACATTTCGGGATGCGGATGCATCTAAATTATTTGTTTTCTCCAACAAAGTTACCACCCAGGACATGTTGCCGTCGATCGGTCAACTTCATCCCTTAAATCCATTACCGATTAAGGTCGAGCCGTCTTGTGCATTACAACGAACACCTCACAGCTTGTGCTTCGCTGCTGGCGAGCATATGGCCCTGCGCAAAGCATCATCACCTACAGAATCTATGAAAAAGCACACACTCGGCAACGGCGTAAAATTAAACCAATACCAAAACAGCGTTTGACACCATAGTAACCATTACTGTTACCACAGTAACCCACCGTTACAGCGAGCCGCGACCTAGCGTATTCCCGGCCCGACCCGCCATACAGGAGTCAAAAAGGATTTTTGTGACTTAGTTTCTACTTTATAACATCGGCGCATCTGCTCGGCCGTCCACCCGCCTTCGCTACCCGCCGCTCACACACCTGGTCTTGGCGCGCGCTTTCGGCCCCCAGTGGGACTGCGGGTTCTGTTGGAAGCGGCGCAGCTGCAGGCGGCCGCGACTCCGGATTGGCCAGCGGGTGGCGCGCGAAGCTGACGTCATCCGGCGCCGGCACGGCGAGCAGCGCGGCGGCCGGCGAGCCGGCGGCGAGGCTGGCGCGCCGCGCCGGGTTCAGCGCCTCCCACGCGCGCACCACCGACCACACGAACTCGGCCGGCGCGTCCGTCTTCACGGCCGACGCGTTACAGTGCGAGCCCGACACGCGGTGCCCGGCGTTCAGGAAGGCGGACCTGCGCCGGCGGCGAGCGCGGGTCAGACCGCGGCCGAAGCGCCGCTCACACCCCCCGCGGACGGCGCCCCGGCATCTCCGGCGGCCTAAGCCCGCGGGCCAGAGGCGCGTGGGCTTAGGACTTCAGGAGAGACTATCCAGGGATTAGAGACTAGAGGCGCCAGCAGAAATTCCTCACGGACCGGGGACTATCAGGGCGGCAGTAGATATTGTACCGGGACTAGGGACTATCGAGGCGCCAGCAGATTATCCAGGGACCAGGGACTTTCAGGGCGCTAGCAGAAATTATCCAGGGACCAAGGACTATCAGGGCACGAGCAGAATATCTGGGGTTGGGGACTATCAGGGCGTCAGCAGATATTGTACAGGGACTAGGGACTATCGAGGCGTCGGAAGACACTCTCCAACAAGCAGGGGCTTTCAGACCCCACCGGTCTACCAGTTACTAGCGGCTTAACTTTGACCCGCTAATTCAGAGTATCGGCCATACAACAGATAATAATGTAAGCTATCATACTACACCATATCACCCTGCAGGTAGAACGCTATCACGAGCATTCCAACATTGAATATGACATATACTGGTAATATGTATCGAGATATGGGTACAACGAGCAGGGGTCAGGGTACACAAATGAATGCCTCCACTTTATCAGTTGCACTGTCGACAAATAATGGCATGTATTGCAGTACTCAGGTCTCATTCATACCTTTATTCCCTTCTCTAAAAGCACACGCTGGTGCCCGCTGTTCAGCCAATTCCGCCGCAGGGGAATGTCTCCGATCGGCCCCACAGGGCTGGCGGAGGGGAGGGCGGCAGGCTGTGTTGGCGGAGGGGAGGGTGGTCAGCTGGGAGAGGGGAGGGTGGCTGGCGGAGAGGAGGGGAGGGCAGCAGGCTGTGCTGAGGGAGAGGAGGGCGGCAGGCTGTGCTGGGGGAGGGAAGGGTGACCGGCTGGCGGAGGGGAGGGTGGCCAGCTGGCGGAGGGAGGGTGGCCGGCTGGCAGGGGGGAAGGCGGCAGGCTGGCGGAGGGGAGGGCGGCCGACTGCGCTAGGGGAGAAGAGGGAGGCCGGCTGGCGGAGAGAAGGGCGGCCGGCTGGCGGCTGGAGGGAGCTCACCTGAGGTCGAGCATCGGCGGCACCGAGAGCCGACACGTGCTTGCCAGCCGGCCGGCGTCGTAGTACAGCGGCACGTCTGGCAGCTCCTCACTGATCTGGCAGCACAGCAGACACGCACGTCACGCGGACAGCAGCACAGATACGGCTCCAAACGGCCCGACAACCGGCAACGGCCCGGGCACGCCCGTCAATGAACACATCAGATCGCCAATGCGTGGCCGCCTACTTAGGAGGCAAGGCCTTAATGTATGTGGTGTTCGTCTGTCTACACTGTTACTATTCTTCACATGATTGGCGGTTTCTCGCTCTGCCCGTCCTCTGGAGCACAGCATGCTCTCTGGAGCCATACTCTCCTTCTAGAGCTCCGCCGGGCTACCCATGAGTCCTCCCGCTCTCCAAAGTTCTTTCTATCTCCGGACCCCCACCCGGTCTCCGGAGTCACTCCCTCCCTCTGGACCCCTGCACATCTCCAGAGTCCCCCTTCCCTCCCTCCGCCCCCACCCTTTATCCTTTCTCCCGCCCTCCGGCCGCCTTCCCTTCCTCCAGGATGCCTCCCCCCTTCCCTCCCTATCTACGCACCACAGACAGCACGCCGACCATGCGCTTGTAGGTGGCGAGCTCGTCCTCCTGTAGCGAGTCCCGTAACGTGGCGACGAAGCCGGCGTCGTGGATCGGCGCCGACCACAGCGGGCCACACAGCTGCCGACGCATGGCACCCGTCAGACCGTCACACGTCACACGACAGACCGTCACACGACAGACCGTCACATGTCACACGACAAACCGCCCCGTGTCACACGACAGACCGTCACATGGCACGCTGGCATACCGTCACATGTCACACGACAGGCTGTTCCATGTCACACGACAGACCGTCACACGTCAGATGACAGACCGTCACATGTCACACGACAGACCGTCACATGACACGCCGACAAACGTCACATGACAGACTGTCAGTCACACGAACAGCCGTCACACACCACAGGACATACCGTCACACCATCACACGTCATATAACAGGCCGTCACATGTCACACGACAGACCGTCACACGTCAGACCGCGCCACCTGCCGCGCCGCAGACAGCGCGGCAGAGCGTGGCCGCCAGCGGACGGTAGCTGTCGGAGCCGTCGCTAAGAGAGATTCTCCGGTCCTACTGAAGCAGGACGGCCCGCTGGGAGCTGGCGGTGCTAATGGCTGGCGCCGTCACGGGGTGCGCGCGCCCGCTAAAACGGTGAGGTGTCAAAACGGTGCCGCGCTGAAATCCGGTGACCTTTGGCACCGGCATTCAAGGCTGTGATTAATAACTGCAAAAACAGTGCCGCGGCGGACCGGAAGAGGACATGCAGCAGCGGCGTATTCGCCACAGGGTGAGCGGCCACGTGCTTCCGTTACTCCGCAAGGAAGGAGACAACGCTGTACATACAGAAGCATTAGATGTCCGAGAGCGAACGGCAAAAAAGCGGCAGTCACTCCGCAGATCTCAGACGCGCTTATGACCGGCGGCCGAGCATCGCCCCGCGCGAGCGTCGAGCGCGCGCGTCTCACGGCCTCACAGAGGGACGACGTGTCCAGCACGCGCACAGACGCGGTGCCCGCACTGGGCTCGGGCTTCGACGGGGACAGTACGTGGCTACCCGAACAGCCTATCCCGATCTGACCCACCACTCGGCAATAAGCCCGGCCAGTGACCATTCCCCGGCGCGCCTCCATCGCCTCCCTCAACGTCGTCATCGGGCTTTACGACGCACTCAGCTGCTGGGGCTGCATGGCGTCGCCTGCCTCTCACGCCGGCAGGAGGGCGGCGCCCTTACGTGGGTGGCGAAGCCGCAGTGGGGACACTTGTCGCCGTTGGGCAGCGGCACAGCCAGCGAAAACTTGGGGTTGGTGCCGTTCCACGTCACGCGACACTTGGGCTGTAGCCTCCACGAGTCGCAGCCGGAGCAGACCAGCGCGTACGCCATCTTGCTGCGGGCACGCCAGAGCGGCTGTCATGACGACGAGTCACAGTCGGGGCAGGACGAGCGTGTGACATCCAGCTAAGGGCATCACGGGGACGGGGAGGGGCGTCCAAACATCCAACAGCCTTTCCGACACCGATTTCAAGTGAACAGAAAGCGGATCTTGAACGCTATCCGGCCAAGTTTTCGGTGAGGATACAATGTGTTATAAACACACGATGATGTACCATGACACGTGCAAAAGGGCGCGTCCTGATCGAATGCTGCTTCCCATTACAATGCAGTAGTCTAAAACTCATAACTCTACTCATAACTAACTCTGCTCATAACTCTGAGTATTTCCATATCGAAGCTACGCAGCCTTACAAATGGCCAGCATGCGCAGTTTTCACGTCGACAATTAGCCGATTCTTCCACCACGGATCAGGACATAGCACAAGTATGACGAAGGCTAGACCTCTGTCACCGCCGCCTGACACGGTCGACAGTTGGGGCTACCTGGCAGAACTTGATCCACCTAATGGGAGATCTTGGCCCATTTGGCAGAACTTCGTCCACCCGGCATACAGTTTGACCCGCCCGGCACAAAGTTTGACCCACCTGGCCGACAGTTTGACCTTGGCGGCGGAGGAGCGGAGGCGCACGAACAGCCGGATATAGAAGTCGACACTGATCGAGAGCAGCGGCTCGATGTAGCGACCGTAACGATTGGCGTGCGTCTCCACGCACTGAAGCGCTATCCGCAGCGCCTGGCGAGGTGGAGAACGCGGCTCACCACGGGGCGGGGTTGACTCGTGAGCTAGGCATCGCGGGTTCGTGACCCACTGCCCGCTACTTTCGTCCCCCATTGCAGTCCGTGTGAACGATGATGTCCACACACGTAGCTGACGTGGATCGCAAAAACAGCGGTGCTATCACGATCCAGAATAAACACGATAGCAAGCAAAAACTATCGATCAATGTAGACAGGCATTTTGCTGGCTACCGCTACCCTCGGTCCGCGCTTCCACCACCGTAACCCGAGCCATCATCGATACCAAACACTGCTATGCGCCGGCGACTGCGACAGGCAGACATTCCCCGGGTCGCCACAAGATGTCAGCACTGACCATTTCGTGGCACATTTTGCTGCGGACGGAGACGGCGCCGTACTTGGCGTGGCACGTCTCTGGAGCGTTGCCGCACAGGATAGCCATGTCCGTGCAGGTCACCTGGAGCACGCCGCCTGCCCGACGCCGTGACGCGTCACACACGGCGCTCGGTTGGACGCCAGCTCGGCTGTGTCGCCAGCCCCGGTGGCCCACGCGGCGCGAGTGAAGCAGAACTACAGAAAACGTGGCCATCGAACAGGCAGTAACACTCAGTTTGGCACAAAGATCGCTGGCTTCAATGGCGTTGGGATTGGGAGCACGGGAAAATATTTTGCTGAGAATCTCAGCGGCATGTTTTCCCGTGCTTGCTGATGCTCGTCAGCATCAGTAGACTAACATCTGATGCTATTACACTACATGTCAATGGTTTCAGGTTATCTTGACCAACCAGCATTGCAACAGCAGTGCAGCCGAACAACCAGCCAGCACCGCCGGCAGGTGTGAATGACATCGCTTTACGCCGCCACTGATGTCAGCTGCAACACGCACCGCAGGTGACGTCACGACAGACGGCGCTGACGTCACTGCCTACCATCGCTGACGGCCTGCACGGCCGAGTCCAGAAACACGGCCGGGGAGCCGTACGGGTCCAGGTCGACCACGTCGAACCGCTCCCGCCGGGCGCCGTACATCAGCAGACTGCGGCAGGCCCGGAGGTGGGAGTGAGTGGCCGTACATCACCAGACTGCAGTAGGCCCGGGGGTGGGAGTGAGCGGCCGTACATCAGCAGACTGCGGCAGGCGCGGGGATGGGAGTGAGCGGCCGTACATCAGCAGACTGTGGCAGGCGCGGGGGGAGTGAGCGGCCGTACATCAGCAGACTGCGGCAGGCCTGGGGGGGGGGGGGGGAGTGAGCGGCCGTACATCAGCAGACTGTGGCAGGCGCGGGGGGAGGGAGTGAGCGGCCGTACATCAGCAGACTGCGGCAGGCGCGGGGGGAGGGAGTGAGCGGCCGTATATCAGCAGACTGCGGCAGACCCGGGGGGGGGGGGGGGAGTGAGCGGCCGTACATCAGCAGACTGTGGCAGGCGCGGGGCTGGGAAACAATGGCAAGATTATGAGCGGGCTGAAATTCCGCTCGTTAGCACACAACCAAATATGGGCTTTAAGTTATATCTGAACGAATCCCTTTTGAACTTGCCTGGAAAGGAATTACCTAGGTTGCCTTTTATGTTTCATCACATAATTTTCACCAATATTTGCCGCACGTTTGGGTCACGCAGCCATGCTGTTCTCAAACGTGGCACGCGTAACAACTCAACGTATATAAATAACTAAAATTGATATTCTTAGTATGTCTTGACGGTGTTGCAGTGGCACTACCCTGTGCTACAGTAAGACGTAGCTAAACCTGAAGTTTTACTGGAGTATAGTTTTGAAATATGTCCCAAAGGTGGGACGCGCCCATTAAAGATGGGGTCGGAGCAGCAGGGTGGACGATGTTTCTATAATACACTGGTCGCTTGGGGCGTACCTTGACAATCCAGGTACTGCGAGGTGTCCCGCAACAGTTCTGGCCACGTGAGGCGTACCGCGACAGTTTCGGTAACGTGATGGGTCTCGGCAGGTCCGGTACCGTCGCGTATCTCAGGCAGGTCCGGTACCGTGGTGTGTCGCGGCAGGTCCGGTACCGTAGCGTATCTCGGCAGGTCCGGTACTGTGGTGTGTGCGCGGCAGGTCCAGTACCGTAGTGTATCTCGGTAGGTCCGGTACCGTGGTGTATCCCGACAGGTCCAGTACCGTAGTGTATCTCGGTAGGTCCGGTACCGTGGTGTATCCCGACAGGTCCGGTACCGTGCTGCTTGCCGTGACAGTACCGGTACTGTGACATCCACAGTATCGTGAAGCGTACTGTGGAGTTAGGATGCCATGACGTGCAACGTCACAGTTTCAATACTGTAAGACGCACCGTTATAGCGCCGGTACTGTGGTGTGACGTGGCAGTGCTGGTACTGTGTGGTGTGACGTGGCAGTGCTGGCACTGTGAGGTGTGACGTGGCAGTGCTGGCACTGTGTGACGTGGCAATGCTGGCATCAGATGTGCCGAGACAGTTTCCGTGCCACGAAGCATAACGCGCCAGTTGCGCGACTACACAGTGTACACAGTGCACAGTATCGGTGCCACGCGGCCTACAGCGAGCGCCGCTGCACCGTGACTCAGAGCGGTGACCAGCACCGGCCTCAGGCCCGGGAACAGCTCACTCGCCTGGCGTCGCCCTGGTGCGGCTCCACCAGGCCCTCCACGCCGTTGTGCTCCACGTTGCGCCGCATGGCCTCGACGGCGGCCGGCGACAGGTCGTTGGCCACCACCTGGCGGAGGCCGCCCACCTCGCGCGCGAACCGACACGAGCGCAGGCCGGACGCGGCTAGAGCCTCCAGCACGCGCAGGCCCGTCTGCAACGGGGATCAGCGGCCTCTGAGACGACGCGGCCCGGCCAGGCCCAGCCCGGCAGACGGGGGCGGTGGCGGTGACGCACCCAGCACGCGTCACATCGGGCCAGCTGGGTCAGTGGTGAGGTATTCCGCCGCCTGGGCGGCAGGCATGTCGACATTTCGTGCACGCTATCACACCCCAGGATCGGCGTTCCCTGTCAGTTGCTCCTCCCCATGGCCAAGCTCTGCCAATCAGCATCGAACCTGGGCGAACTCAGCATCTAGGCGTCTCAGGCTTGGCTAATTCGCTGGATGAGTCAGATGTCAGAGTTTGGGGTCAAGGGCCAATAGACTGGCACGCAAACAAACATCGTGGGATTGGGGGGTGGGGGTGCCAGAGAGGCAGAATCCTGGCATCACAAATCTTTTGTGTACCTCTTGCAGATCCTACTGGTTGAACTTTGGGATGATGAGCCGAGCAACACGGTGCACTGTCCATGGGGCCCCTGCCTAAGAGTGGAGCTGTCAGCACTGCAGGGGCATCCCAGGTACATAAACCCACATGTACAGCAAAAAAGGTCTAAAGGCTCTGACCCTGAAGGTTGGGTGTGAAGGTCTGAAGGGTATGTTCAGCCTACCTCGCACTTGACCCAGGAGTTAGCTGGGGCTCCTCATCTCTCTTCATGCTGTCATCAGAAGGCACTGGCTGCTGCTCCACAACCCCCTGGTCTGGCTGCTTCTCCTGCTTGTTCCAGTTCCAGTCCCTCACAACAGTCAGTGGCTTTTGCTTCAAATCAAGCTTTGCCTGTTTGCTGCGCAGCTTCTTCTCCTCCTTTTCACGGAGCTGCTCTTGGTGCCGCGTTGCCCAGGATCCGCAGCACAGACACACTGCAAAAGCCAATTGAAGTGCTTTATGCTGGGAATGGGCCACATCACAGTATTGAGCAGAAGGTAGGTAAGGTGCAAATCTTGTGCAAGTGCACATAACATGGAAATCAGACACAGTTGGTTATGCTCAAAACATCTCTAAGAGGGACTATGTACCTGTATAACAGATCTTTAGCATTGTAACGGAAACAGCAAGCCGGCTTACCTGAGGTCTCTGTTGAACTCCTGCACAGGGTTGTAGAAAACATCTTTTGAGCTTGGAAACAGTACTTTCTGCTTGACCTTCCTTTACAATGGTATAAGCATTTCTGTCCATGACTACTTCCGAGCGAGTCACAATGTTAGAAGCCTGGAATTGGGTACCAGTATTGTCACAATTTCTACTGTTGCTAAGGACTACTCTAATAATGCTTACAGATTCATCTCTTGCAGGCCAGATAAGTGAGCAAAAGTTGTGATGGGCATATCATGCTGAGAGTCATCTGAATCCAGCTCTACCATGACAACATGTTCTTTATAAAACACAACATTGGTTTCTATATAAGAGCACTTTTGAAGCCTACTCTAATATTGCCTTTCACAACCCTATTGGCAATGCCTGTCATGGACTGAGAATTACTTTGTGCAGACTATACTGCTTTGGTTTCAAAAACATCCTCAAGTTCACAACAAGCAGAAAAAAGCATGAAGATGACATCATGTGTCAAGGACTTACCTTTAGCTTGTCCTCAGTTTTCACATCACCATCACAAGTATCTTCTTGAGTGCTGGCCATTTTTAATGGTGATGACAGTGACAAATAATTTAGGTTTGTCAGTAGGAGCTTCCTGTGGTACTGGAGATTCTTGAACAAAATGCTTTTCATTTACTCATGATACCTGCAAAACTTCAGCCGATTTCAGGTTATGACTAGCTAGTCATGCCTTTGTATCAGCAAATTTAACTTGTTAATTGTTCTAAACAACTGTTCTTGGGTAATAGCATAGAAAAAACCTGTGGTACTTCTCATATCAGCAATACCTCGCAATTCACGGCATCACACCTAGTAATGGCTGTCCAGCACTTCCCACATAAAGGAACACCAATGCAAAAACGAAGCCGGAAAACTATCTCAAAAAAGCACTTGCAGAATACCCATACGCCACCAGTGGTAAGGTGCACGGCCTTATAAGTAAAAGAGAACTTATAAACAACAGATGAACCGTGCACATGTCGCGCCATCACCTACCTCTGTGCCCGCCCCAAGCATAGCATTCATCACGCACGCCTCCTTGGATGCGTACATTCGGCACGTGTCTGCCTGTTCATAAACAATACAAATGTCGGGAAGGCGCCATACATGTCTCAAGTGTCAAACAACCCCTCATTTGCGTGCCATGCTTGCGCGCGTGTGGTCTCCCGTCCGTCTGTTCTAGGGCATTGGGTCCGTCGCGTCCCATTCGGTTTCTGAGAAATACTCTGCAAGGTTCAGGGTCGTTGATCCCTTTACACGTTCATCGAACAAACGTACTGCGTACTAGACTTGTCTTGACTGAAGCTTGCTCAGAATGAGCGCCTCTCTAGTGCGTAAAGGGCTGGATCTTTTCAGTGAAGATTTGACGAATCAATCAGGTTGGGTGCCCTAAATCCTCTTTCATGACTGGTTGAGTATTTTCATTACCTCTCATTACGTGCTGCAGTGTAACTGATATGTCCTCAAAAGGATTGCAAGGAAAAGTAGTTTTACCAATGATGAAGTTATGGGTGTGGCATGTAGTCAATTTGTTTGGTGTGTTTCCATAAGTTGCCATTGAAGGTGTTATTTCCATGCAGGAACATGAGTATAGCTTATATAAAATTTGGGAACAGCTTGAGAATTTGTCTTCTATGGTGTATCTGATGTGGCTACCAGTTCCTGGCATCTATGCTATATATTCACTAGATGCAAAATTAGTTTTGATGTGGGGGCATTTTTCCTGCCAAGGGTTCTCCATCATTGTAAGATATCATAAACCACTGCTCAAAAGAGCATTGTACAAGAGTTCCCCTCTCTGGTTCATGTATTGTTCCAATCACAGGACATATTATCTACCTCTGACCTGGATGCAAATAGATTTCCACAGAGCATGTGGACTAATTGAGTGTGAACCAGTGCATAATATATCAGATGATAGTTTCATTTTGATGTGTGAAGGTTTGCTTTAATAGGTTTCCCTCTTTTCTTGGCAGCAAAAACAAAGAAGGGCTCAAGTACAGCATCTGGTTCAACAACTAACAAAACTGGACTGAAGAAGCTGAAGCAGGCAGAACAGAAACATAAACTGGGATCTGGTTAGTATACTCATCTCTTTTAGGTATTCCCATATTTGTCATATTGACTTCATATAGGTCACTGTTGCAGAAGTTTACAGTTTACCTGGTTAGTGCGTGGCTCATTTCATGAACATTCGGCTGTGCTGAAGGCATCACTTGAAGCTGTGGTGGTGATGGGCTTGTAGCAGGATATTTTGAGGGCATTGATGAAGTATCTTTAGAATGCCCCTGTTGCAAATGCTTGCTGATTACCTTCCTCACCCTATGTTTCATGTCACTGGGGTACCTAACCAACAATTTTCCACCAGCTCCTGAGCTGACCATCAAGGGCAAGAAGGTCAAATCTTCACTGAAAAAGTACAACCAGCACAAATCAAAGGATAACACAGAAGAAACAATTAAGTACCTTCAACTTCTCAGTAGTAAGAAGACAAATCCAAAGGTTGCAGAGCAGGTAATGTTAGGCCAATATGATTTAAATTTACTTGTAAGTCAATACTGCATAATGCATGCCATATGAACTAATCCAATTTGTCTATGCTTTTGTGCAGATATCCTGCCTTTGCTTATGTTTGCACTTATCTGTTATGCGACTGCTTAAGCATATGCCTGTTCATTCTATCAACATATGCATTTCCTAACATCAAATGTGATCCATCCCCCAGGTGGTTGAGTATCAGCAACGGCGCTCTGCTAGGCCTGTCCCCTGCTCAGCAGAAGGCAAAGCAGCCCAAGTCTTGTTTCTCAGAAGAGGACTTTGCCCGATTCGAGCGGGAATACTTTGTTGGTCCGCGTAAGAGGCCGGCCGCGTGACGTGCCTGGTTCTGACTTCGACTGAGTGAACGGGCGAGCGCCTGACCGCTTCAGCGTCGCAAGCATAGCGCGCCGGTCCTACACTCCAAGCGCTCGGCGGGGTCAGTCCTCAGAGCGGAACCAATACACCTGTCCCGTCTTTTATACGCTGGGGAGCGAACGCCGCTGGATTCGCATGATCTACCAAAGGACGCACGGTGCCACCGGTTAGCTCATCGCGCTTTATCAAGCGATCACCCAGCGCACAGCTAGCTGATCGGCGAAGCGTTCGGCGGTCGCCTGGCGCGCACGCCGTGCTCGCGTCGCGAGGGCGTCAGCCCCTCGACCTCCGACTCAACAGCTCTGACTCTGACTCGCTGAGTCTGCGGGCCGCTCCTGCACCCCCTCTCGCGCCATGGCCGGCTGGTGCGTGGCGGCGGTGTCGGGGGTCACATGCGGCGGCAAGACTACCGTGGCGCGCATGCTGCACGCCGCATACCCCGGCTCCGTGCTCGTGGCGCAAGACGACTACTTCCTGCCGGAGGACGACCCGCGCCATGTGCCGGCGCCAGGCGTCAACCACCTGAACTGGGAATTGCTGTCCTCGATCGACACGGGCCGGATGGTGACAGACGTGGCGGCGATCTTGGCGCAGCCTGCGCCGGCCGGCGACGCTGCGCCGCGCCTGCTCATCATCGAAGGCTTCCTTGTGCTCAACGACGCGCGGCTGCGCGCGCTTTGTGACGTGCAGTGTTACGTGACGCTGGAGCGTGGCATCTGCTGGGAGCGGCGCCAGCATCGCCACTACGAGCCCGCCGACGTGCCTGGCTACTTCGACGCATGCGTCTGGCCCATGTACGAGCGCCACCTGGCGGAACTGCGTTGCGTGGACGGCGGTCGAGTCATCTACCTGGATGGCGCACTGCCGCTGGACCGGCTGTACACGCGCGTGGCTGCTGAGGTGTCGCGGGCCATGGAGAAGCAGTGCGCCAATTGACCGAACCGCGCGAATGGTCGCCAGCAGGTGGGGAGTTGTTCGGTGACCGGGTGGCCGAGTGTTCGTGCGTGGTGCGGTTCCAATGCTTAAATATGGCGTTATCTCCGGTTGTGGCGTCGTACTTGAGCATGGCTGTTGGAACACGCCGTACGCTCGTTGATTTAGTATATTATCCACGTGTTGTTTGGCAGGTTTGCCAATTACGAAAATACACATGCAAGATACAATCCGAAGAAGGGAGAGTATGTTTCAATTTGGTCTCAATATATGCATGTGTTTTACTCGAGTCATGCACCGTTTATGGGCGTGAAATCCGCTGTAATTTTGCTCAGACTTCTATGTTTACGCTCAGTACGCACGACAAATTATTTTCTGCCCCCCAATTATTGGTGCTGGTGGTGGCGTATTTTGTTTTAGTTGTTGCAGAGAAGACATAACTTAAACACGACTCGGTGAACGATGGAGAAGTTAGTGTGCCGTTGAAACGTGTTGAACTAACGCGCGCCGGGTGGCCGGCTAGATAGCCCTCGCTCGGGTAGGGGGGGGTCACCTGACCCCCCTCCCTGAGATCTCGGAAACCAAGAGAGCTAGGACACCAACCTTACAGGGTGTCCTGGCCTGTACATGAACTCACTTAGGTCAAAGTTTTAGGTTCCTAGATCATGACCTTCGGGTAAAATAAGCTCAAACAAAGTCAAATTCTAGTTTGGTCTCCAAAGTGCCCCGATAACCTAGATAACTGTTTCTAAGCAACAGATCACATGCTCAGTTAACGTCAGTGACCCTGTTTGACCCTTTGAAGGTCATTGTGATCAAAATCCCGCAAGACTGCTCTGGGTTTTGCACATGAATAAGCGACGAAGATTACCCCAGGCAGTATCTTCCCAAAAAATGCCGACCAGGGTCACTTCAGGTCAATGACCTATTCTGACCTCTAAGAAGGCCATGGAAGATGTAAAATGCGGCTCCTGCTATCAATAAATTCGAAACGAGCACCAGAAACTATCCCTATACAGCAAGCCCTAGAGTAATAAAGCAGGTTGGTTTTGACCTTGGTATGACATTTATACCTGACCTCAGGTCAAGGTTTTTTGATCATTCAATATCTGTGTTACCTAAGAAAGCATCTCAGAGATGTATGGCTTCGTCTAACACTCCGTTGTTGCATCAGATTGAACGACTCCCTACAAATTGACTTCGCTGAAACCATGGTCTGACTGACCTGCCATATGCCAGCGCCCTTACAAGGTTATCTAAATGTTCGATGCCAAACCATCCGCTATTCAATTGTCTACAGCCATGCAAATTTTGCCGCGGCTGCAGCGCGCCATTCGGAAGCCATTCTGAAAAACCTTCGGGGTCGATTTCGTCCCGCCCCCCTCCCCCCCCCCCCCCCCGAGCGCGTGTTAATGTGATAGCGCAGGGGTGTCGGCGATGGATGTCCCTGTGTGACGTCAGCAAGGCTTGTATGTGCTTCCATTTACAAATAACTTAAAAGTTTCGAAAATGACGATGCTGTGACATTCATTGCGCCATTGCCGACACCAGAACGTTCGGTGTTGTATTGCCCTGATTCGGCACGGCGTGGTACTCGGGCTGTCACAGTTGCTTTGGGCGTTTGTGGGTGCTCCCGCGGTATTAAGACAAGCGCATTTCTGAAATTTTCTCCTGAAATCAAACCCCGGGGTCTTACTTCGACTAGCAGGAAATGGCGAAGCACCATCCCGATCTAATCTTTTGCAGGAAGCAGCCTGGTGTGGGTAAGTGCTTGATTTGCTATCGGCAGCCATCGCAAACAAACATTCAGGCTGTTTCTTTCAGTAGGGAGACACAAAAACATGCATTTAGCTATGCCATCATTTTCATGGGCTGCAAAATAATGGACACAATTTTTGTGTGTTTGCAGTCATGTGTAACAGTATTGTGTTCATGGAGCAACTGCATTGCATTGTTCAAGGTAAATGACTGATAGCAGTTTGTCATCATTGACTGCTCAAATTGTCTTCAGTTCGTGCAAGTTTTTGATGTAGGAGTTTTTGCATGAGAAGATCCCCAGGACTGGGGCTTTAGGCTCAACACCTTTTGTAGGATTCCCTTTGTGTACATCATGTGTGTGATGGTGTCGCGATACTGTTGGAAAACGGTTGTCTGTGAATTAATTGGGAAGCCATTAATTTTATGTCGATATTGTATGCAAGATCACATTTGTTAATCTCTGACAATTTATTATTCTACTTTGTGTAGCCTGATTTTCAATGTTATTAGTGTAACCACATTTTAAGATGCTTCTGTGACATCAAATCTGTAAAACATGTCAGAATTTGGCAGAATTCCATGTGGGCAGAGTGGAATCATAAGGCATGTTCCTGGACCTCTTTTGGCTGCTCATGCTATCTTGGGGCAGCTCATGGTGTCTCATGGCAGGCGCTGAACTAGGGCAGAGATGGGTAGAACGAGCAGATACACCCTAGTGCATTTAGTACAAAGGACCTACAATCAATAAAAGCAAATGCAGTCCAAAGGCCAAGTGCATCAGGATTGTTTCAGCTGTGTCATAGTTGTCTTGGTCAGTGCTTTTTTATCCAGTCTGGTCCTGCATGTGGCTGCTGGCACAGTGCCTGTATACATGGACCCACTGATAAATTAAAGTGCTTGGAGTGATATATATATATATATATATATATATATATATATTTGAAACAAAAATATGGTGTAAACATGAGACTTTTTGCTCATGCCAGCTTCCAGTGTTTGCTCTGAGCAGGTAAACCAGCCACAAATTTCTTTATCCTCTGTGTTTTTTATGAGCAGCATCATGGAGGTTTGAAACTCACTTTGTGGATTTTTGCTTCCAGGAGTGTACCTGCCCCAAATGCCTTATTGGCTGGTCTGCCACCTTTTGCAGACTGCTGTTTCATTGTATACAATATCAACAATACCCATCTTTTTTCATATTTGATGTTTGAAACTTGGCAGAAATTGTCAGTTCTTACCTTTGTGTGAAATGGGACTGAATTAATCAAGCTCTGGGTAGCGGCATGGCTTGAGCTGCAGCACATACATTTTTTAGTTGAAGTTCCAGCAAGTGAAAGTGTTGTGAAAGCATACCTGAAGTTTCATGCAGATCCATGCAAAATTTTCAATTCATGTGGACCAAGTTTATTTGTGACATAAAGGCTAGATGATGTATGGCACAGACCAAAAAAGTGTCATACAGACCAAATGTATTTGTGACATAATACCCACAAATCAAAACTATAGCAATGATGTCCCTAACATTGATATCTCTAGTGGTATGCATCAGCTGCCCATCATCAGATTGTCCATCACTCCCGCTCCCTGACCTCTCACCTCCTGCCGCCCGACAGCCATCGGCCGCCTGTGCGAGAAGTGCGATGGCAAGTGCGTCATCTGCGACTCGTACGTGCGACCGTGCACCCTGGTGCGCATCTGCGACGAGTGCAACTACGGCTCGTACCAGGGCCGCTGCGTCATCTGCGGCGGGCCCGGCATCAGCGACGCCTACTACTGCCAGGAGTGCACCATCCAGGAGAAGGACGTGAGTGCTGGGCCGGGCGGCGCTGCGCGGCGGGATGGTGACGTCTGCGGCGGTGGCATGCTGGTTGGCCGGTGTTATTGCGTGGAGGTTTATCAAATGGGCCCGTCACAAGAGTTGCTTGATGTTAATTTTTCTTGAGTGAGCAGAAAAACACTACCCAGGTGAAGGTTAAGACCCAGGAAGTTTGAAGCACGAGATATGTTGCGCCTCTTTTGAGCCTTGTCCTTCGAGATCAATTGACGTCGTAGATCAAAGGAACGCTATAATGGAAGTGCCACCTTTGCACCACAAACTCATGTTTCATGAGAGCCAGAACTCCGCAGAATTATTGTGGTATAAAAAAAACAACTCCAGGCAAAAACATAGTGGCATCAAAATTGGGGTGGAGTGCTGCAATAGTCTGCATGTTTGCTTGAGAAACTGTTTTGGAATATGCCCAACGTTATTAAGCCATTACCATATATCATGCACAGGAAATTGAGTCATGTCGAATTAGGAACCTGGAGGTCTCATACCAGACCGTAGCAGGTAGGTCGGCCACGCTTCTGTTTCCTCGTGCTTGACAGCCCACGTTGTGCCCAGTCGGAAATGCCCCGAACGTGAACAGGTAGGGTGGGGAGAGGTGGGTGGGCGGCAGGGGATTCTGTGCGTGCGGTCAGATCTGAGGAAGTCATCGGGAAAGATGGTGGAAGTTCTGGGTATGGTAAAGTCAAGGATAACTGGCTTGTGCGGAAAGGAGGGGGGTAAGTTCCGCGCTATGCTGTTTGACCGTTTGGATAAAAATGCTGCTGTAAAGTGATGAGCTGTAAACGTAGCGGAGCTTACATGTAAACGGTGGCGTAGCTTTATTCCGGTTTTAATGTCCTGTAAAGTGATGACGTTTAAACACAGTGTCGTAGCTTTATTCCGGTTTTATTGTCCTGCAAAGTGATAGCATGTAAACGCAGTGTTGTAGCGCTATTCCTGTTTCAATGTCCTGACAGTCAAACGTTATCTTTTCCAGAGGGACGGCTGCCCTAAAATCGTCAACTTGGGAAGCTCCAAGACCGACTTGTTTTATGAACGGAAGAAGTACGGCTTCAAGAAAAGATAATCACTTACAAATCGGTGTATCATGATCTGGATGGGTCGCCCATAATCATCTCTTTGTGCGCATTTGGCACGTGACAGTGTTTTGACATCGCCGTGCTGTGATGTCAATAAATGACAGACATGCACGGTATTTGCGATATGTCTTTTTGAGAACTTCGGTGATCAGCGAACAGTGACTATAACCCGAGCGGTGTGAAGCGAGGGTTGGTGTGTTCGTAATAAGGTAATGTAATTCATGGCATACGTCACTGGGTCAGTTCTTGGCGGCGAGTCGGGTCATGTGATGAAAAACAAGTGAAGGTGAAGCTGAACATCCGCCATTTATGGCATGGACAGGCATAAAATGCCA